TACGGAATATCAATTACAGTCATAAATCCAGTTTTTGATGGACTTTAATCTGGTATAAATACTTTCTGATATTATCTGTCCTTTAGGTTGTAGAAGGGGGGAGGCAAAGGTTATGTGGCACCCTGTATATATGTCACACTACGATCACCATTTTGCGGTTCAATATTTGCATTATCTAACTGTTAATTATTTACGATGTCTGAAATATTATTAATACCTTAAATTCTTCTTTTCCTTTCCTTTTCCTTCGTAGTTTTATTCTTGTTTAACTAAACGTTTCTATTACACAAAAAATCTTCGTCAGTAGTTAATAAGGTGAAACAAGATGTTATAAAACAAAAATCTAAAATAATGAAAAACACTTAAAAATTTATTGTGAGTAATCAACTTTTTGTTTTATCCTCAAATTATATCTAGTGTTTGCTGTTCTCAAATTTATACTCGTAACTTTCTCCTTGTCCTCTTTTTTACTTTCATTTTCTTTTTCTTTAACTTTCTTATAACTAACTCCCGTACCTTTTTTAATCCATTTTGCGATCACTGGTGACCACGAAAGTGGTAATGTTAATTTTTTATTGTATGATCTATTAACCAATGAAATAAACTGACTCTGATCATTTCCTAGTATAGACATTTCTTTCACGGTCGAAGATGACGCTATCCTCAAATTGTATATCACTGTCTTTACAGTTTGACGCATGTTTTGCAATTTCAGATATTGTTATTCTTTTCTTTTTTACACATCTTTGATGTTGCTCTAAACGTACGTAATTAATAGATGAAATACAAGAAGAAACTCCAGTTAGTTTTTCAAATATTTTAATAGCATCGTGTCTTATTTTAGAATGATTGAACCATCATCAGGATATAACATTGAAGACAATGAGACAATTCAGCCTAATCTTCTCGAATTTCTAAATAATTTAACTAATGTACAAGCAGTAATAGAAAGAGTTTTACCATTAATACCTAATCAATTAGATGATTCTGAATTAAAACTTCATTTACCACGAACAGTTACTAATGATCATCCTAATGGACCTAATATAACTCATCAAGCTGCAGATTTTATATCCTCTTATATTTCTCAAAAAAATGAAGAAAAAGAGTCGCACCGAAATATGTTAGTAGGTCTGAAACAACGTCAAGAATCTATGAAACAATTTTCAATTATCCATCGCAGGATCAATACGAATAAAAACCGAAGAACGACAACAACAATCATCTCACGAAGAAATAACTGAGCATATAAAAGGTGAGACCTTCTTCTTGTTAACTTCTAAGTTACGGGAAACAATCTGGAGAGTATCGAAAATTTCAAAGAATCAAGAAGTATCATTCTCCAGCTTGCTTGTAAAATCTACATCAGATGTTAAATTTAATGCACATTTTAACATGCTGCATGCACATAACAGAGAAGTTGTAAAATACACCAGTTTCGTCTTTGTCACTATTTCACCTCACCATAGAGCGGAGTATCTTGTTGAATATCATCAATAAACAATTGTTTCCATAAACAAATTATTCGCATCATCATCGACAATTGTGCGTAGACTCTATTCTAAAATATACTACGTTGAACATTGTAATGTACAATGGCTACTAAAGATTTGAGGAAAAGCTCACAATTTTTCGTCATCTCTCATTTCTACATTAAAAAGCGTTAACATCAGTATACAATAATCATATATGGCTTCTGATTGATCAACCGATTCTAACAGCTAAAGGAGATTTTTTTTGAAAGTATTTCAGCAAAGAAGTAACAGGATTATTGGTAGTTGAGATTCTGTCCTATCGATATTCCTTGAAATGAGATATGCTTTATGTCAATATTCAGCTGGATACTCATCTAAAAGATTTAGATCTACGGAGAAACAAAATTATTATCCAAACTAACCAATGTTCCGTAGACCTCTAGGTTGTGAAAGGTTTTATCTCAATTTCGATCCTCATCAGACTGTATTGCGTGTTCGTGTCTAAGGGACGGGTCCGTACGAGCTAAACAATTGCCCCACTTGTTTTTATGCCCAAACAATAAAGTTTCGCCCGTAGGGCCTTTCATAAATTGTATGGTGTTTCATGAAAAAGTGTCACAGAGAGCCCGAAGGCGTCTCATTTTGTTCAGAAATGTTTGCTCTATATGAAAAAGTTATTTGTGAAGAATTTCTAGACCGAACGGGGGCTTGGTTTCCTGAAATTTGGGTTCTCCATAGACCCTAGTTTCAGAAGTTCTGATGGAATCTTTATCAATACCTCATCAGATTGGAAATTCTTTTAGCTGCACAGATCTTTTTTCAAGTTTGCTTCAGCTACAATGGCGACGAGAAAAACGAAAAAGAATGATGAACGAATAACTTTTTGGACCCGCTGTATGTTTAACTTTTCTTATTCCTATCAAATCCTTGTGTAAAAACAAAGCTAAACAGTAGAAATAGATGCTCAGGAGTAGAGTCAATAAGACAACCGATATACCTACACTTGAGAATCATTGTAAGAGAAACATATTATAATTTTATAAATGGTATTTAGCGCTTGATCCAATACTATAAGGCTAATAGGAAAATTCGTATCCAAGGACACTCTAAAGGCGCCAGTAAATTCTGCAAACCTATGTGCTTTTTCTGTTAAGGGACGCAGCCCTGGTTTACACTGCATTCGATTCGTCCTTACACGAAGAAAAAAGTATAAATCGCTTTTTTTTAAATTCTATTTTCTTGATGAGAAAAAACTCATTTTTTCTAAATCAGAGTCAAAAAAGTCAAAATTTTGCCTGTAATTCTCAATTTTCTGCATCAGAACTCAACTTTCAAGCAATAAAAATATCATATTTGGAATTAGAAAACGAATCGACTGATATGTGTCTCTATCCTATCCGAGCACTTGAATTTTTTTCGAATTTTCACGTTCAAAAATCATCGAGATTTTCACCAAACAATGAAAATCAACTAAAAATTTCGAAATACACGTCAGTCGATTCATTTTAATCACGATTCCGAATATGATATTTTTATTACTTACAAGTTGAGTTCCGAGGGAGAAAATTGAGATCTACGGGCAGAATTCCGACTTTTTCGTCTCTACGGCTTGTCCACGTAACGGTATCCTTTTTCCGCTCTTTCTCAAAAGATTATTGCACTAAAGCTACAAACTAATCTAGAATTGCAACTACATAATTAAGTACATTAAACGTTTCTCTACAAAATGAAAAATGTCCTGACTCTGAATGTTGATTCGTTATGAAAATACAGCTGTCGTACAAACAGCCCCAAAAATCGATTTAGGAGCAATCTGAAAAACGTGTCTAAAAGACTGAAGACGAGCGGGCGAAAATTGAGCAAGTATACCAGTTTGTAGAAAATTGTTTGCTCTACAAGATGTGATAGCTTGTTAAGTTCGAAACTATTCTGATCAATCTGTATTAATCAAAGAACTGTGACGGTGTGTTCATCAATATATACAAACTCATCAATATACGGCTGAACGTTATCATAATTACTTTTGATGTTCAAAGCACTATCTGATGATCCTTGCTGTTTCACTCCCTTGATAAGTAGTTCTAGGGAATTTTTGATATAATATTGGTGATTAGAAATTTGCTCTCTTTCCGTATCTGTGTATTTTTTAAGAGTATTTGGCTAGTTAGTTTGAGAACGGGATGAAACATTGTTGTGAGGAACTTGTTGCGTCAAACTGTAGTGAGTAGAGATTCCTCTATTGTAATCCTTCTAATTCGAAGAACTGAATTCCGTTTATGTGTGCCAAATCTAGAACTTGTGACCTACTACCACTTTAAGTATTCGCTATATTTCTTTAGTAATGAAAGTAAGAAAATTAACCGATCAAAATAGTTCTTAATCGTTGTATGCAGTACTGCAGCCAAAATACTCAACTGTTTAATCAGAGATGATTCGAAAAAGACTTTCAGCAAATGTCTTGAAACAAATTTATTGTGCGTGGATAATCATGTTTACTACCTCAAATACTTGCTGAAGTGAAAACTTAATTACCTCTAGTCCGTCGAGTTTTACCTGCAAATCTCGTTACTTTTGGTAGGCCCTGAGTAGTATTCTAACCTAAAACCATTGAAAAACAAAATCAGTTTTGTACGAATAGAGATTCGAACACATGAATTCAGCGTTGTAGTTAACTGCAGAATTAAATCCACTGTTCTGTGTCTACATTCTGTACAATGATTGAAGTTGTGCAATCGATCCGATGTTTCCAATGTTAATTTTTTTGATTTCTTTTTTGTGTTTTGTTTTGAAAACATGTTAACTTTATGCCGACGAATTATTCAAAAATTAAATCTGATTGGTCTTGCGCTAACGTGTCAGAAGCTGTTAGAAACTAAATCGCCCTGGCTACCTCAGGGACTAACAATCAAAGTAAATCTAGCCACAAACAAATGATATACCTTGATTACGTAATGCTAGTAGAGACGTTTCATTAATTACATCAAAGAATTTGTCTAACGTTAGCGACGCATTGTTGTGATTATCATTTGTTCGATGACTAGAATAAAGTGCAATCCGAGTGACGTCAAGACTAGCCAAAACTTGGTTAGTTTTGGTATTTCATTTATTAACCTCGGACCATTCGGTTGATGTTGTGTCACAGTTCGGTTGTAGATTGGTGAATAATCAAGTGGTGTTTGCCCAGATTCAGGTAAGGAATGTAACTGTGAAGTTGTTGCTAAAAGTTAAGGAAAATAATTTGGAGAGTATCGAAAATTTCAAAGAATCAAGAAGTATCATTCTCCAGCTTGCTTGTAAAATCTACATCAGATGTTAAATTTAATGCACATTTTAACATGCTGCATGCACATAACAGA